AAAAAAAAAAGCTTTTATAAATCTTAATTCATAATAAAAAAGATCAGAAAAGAAAAACTGTTCTTAAGAAGGAGACCATCACTGAAACAATTGTTTCATTAATCACAAATCGTGACTGGCACTGTTGCTTAAATTTAGACACAGGTCAGATCGATGATGTCGATCATATTTCTAGACGGTATTTTGTGCAAATTAAATTACTACACATTTTAGCTATAGGATACTTTAAAGACAAATGAAAGTGCCCAGCAGCATCTGGGAAAAGTTTTTTAGCTTTTAGAGAACCAGTTGTTGAAATGTCTTGAAGTCGGAAATTTTATTTGGTTTTTTTTAACCTTCCGGCTTTTATTTCATCGATATGCAGCTAGATTTATTGTTGGTAAACACTGAATTACTAATTAAATTACAGCAAATTTTAAAAGTTATAATTTACTGAGAAATAATGTTTGTCGTCGTTTGCGTATTCTTTTGAGTATAAATCGAAAGAAATTGGAAAATAGTTCAGAAATGACTGGTGCAGTAAATACGAATTGAAAGTATATTTTTGAATTCGACTATTTTACATAAACTTTTTTTCTGGTAGAAAATACACAATCAAAATGTGGCAAGAAACAAGCGTTGATTTTACAGCACTCTTTCTTTCTTTTTTTAAAGCACTTATCTGGCAGATTCTTGTTGCTGTTATATTTTCTTCCTTTCATAACCAGTTTTGGTAAATTTTTTATTTTTTTTTGCTATATATTAAGTGTTTTTCTGAATTCAACAGTATGAAAAGTGTAGCTGTTAATGAGTGCAAAAAATAGTTGTTTTACAGTCTTTGTTGATATCTCAAGTTTTTTTATTCGAATTGGCAAGGCAGTAATAATAACAGCACTTCTGCTGCTAATGTGAAATTACATTTTTGTGTTAGATTCATTTATTCAATTTTTAATTAGCATAAATCTACAAATCCTGTTTTTAGCTGCAGTGATACAGCTACGATAACAGCTGATGGATTAGAAATATTAAATAATTTCTTTGATATAAGCTTTCCAATTTTTCCGTATTTGATTTCAGGTTCAAAACTGTTTGGAATTAAATAAGAAAGCACTTAGATTTTTATTTTAATATTTTATTACACAATTTTTTTTTCTGTTATACAGCATTAATTGTTAGTCGGCACATTAACGAATGGTACCCAGAAAAAG